AGAACTGTGGGGCAGGGTGGGGGATGTGGGCTTCTGACTAAGACCTCAGGGTCAGCACAGAAGCCCAAAGCGTCATTCATTCAGCCAGTCATTTGTTCGTTCAGCATGTGCTAAGTCCCAGGTACGTTTCTAGTATTAAAGACACAGTTCAAAAAAGCTAGCTAGCATCTCTGACCTCCAGGCAGCCTCCGCCTTGAGTCCTGGTGAGTCCCCAAACTGTTTCTGAATACGGCATCTGTCTCCCCACTTTTTACCCCATTACCACCACCCAAGGCGATCCTCGTTTAAATTATTTCAGCAGGTTTTAAGGGCCCCCTGTGCCTCCCCTCCCATCTTTCTGAACAAGGCGGCATGGCAATGTGAGTGGTCTTCCTGAGACAGCTCTCATCACACCCCACCTTGCTCACAGGCCTGTTTCAAGATAGCACTCGAGGCCCTGCTCTGTTGGCCCCAGCCCACCTCTCCCCTCTTCCCCTGGCAGTTCTCCCCAAGCACTCTACTCACCAGATCTGTCTGCCTGTCTAGGGGAAACTGGGCAGGAGTTGCCAGGGAAGGGAAGCACTGGGAACTGTAGGTGAGAGCCAGGCCTGTACTCAGGGCAAGGTCAGACTAGAGGCCTCAGCAGGACAGGCTCTTTGCTAGGACTCGGAACATGGATCACCAGAACCCCCTTGGTCTTGGTCAGAGGGATGCACTCCTGCGAGCTCCATCCTGGCAGGGCTCAGGGCCCTGGGATGTCTTATATAGGCCATGCTGTCTACATGGATATAGGAGGGCCCACCTAAGAGTGGGATGAGGTTTCTTTGGGTCCTTTGAGGTCCTTGTACCCTGCCCCCCAAATTCTTCCCACCCCAGTCCACTGCCTTTGCCCATCCCCTATCCTTCCATAACCTCTGCTTTGCTCTGTCTCTCACAGATATTGACAGATGTGCTTCTGGAGCCAACAACATCTGTGGCCCTGGAACCTGTGTGAACCTCCCAAGTGGATACAGATGCATCTGCAACCCTGGCTACCGGCTGCACCCCAGCCAGGCCTACTGCACAGGTATTCACTCACTCAGTGTCCTGGGCTTACTCGGTGTCTGGGGTGGATGGGAGCAGGGCTGGGGAACAGAGGCTGGGGAACAGAGGCAAGAGAACAGGCAGCAGAAGGTCCAAGAAGTGCTGTGTGATTGGTGGGTTTAAGAGAAGCACAGTCACTACAGACAAAGCTAGCCTTACCCTTGGGGAGCCCAGTCTCTGGGAGCACCATCCAATGAGTCTCCAGGACTCTGGGAGAGTGGAAAGCCACCCCAGGGCTTCCCCGACTGGTACCTGAAGCCCTTAGCCCTGAGCTCATCCCACCCTTCAAACTGGCCATCTTGCTGCCTGCAGAGCAGACCGAGGCCTGCCCTCCTTGTAAATGTCTCCACCAGGACCATCCCTGGGGGAGAGGTTTGGGGCCAAGACAGATCATCAAGTGTGAGCCTGACCCCTCTTCCTCCCAGCCAATACTATCATACAAAGCAGACACATTCACTGTGCCTTGAAGGAGAAAGGAAGTGATCCTGAGGCCACTGGGCGGAGGGGCCATGGGGTGGGGAGGAGGTACATACAGCGGGGCAGCCGCCCAGGCCCTTGGTGCCTGAGTGGGCCAAACGGGCCAACTTTGTGGCTCCCAGCCTTAGAGATTTTTCGTCTCTCTGGCCTCCTTTGCTCCCTCATCCCCTCCTTGCCTCACAGCACCACCCTCTGTCCAGCCTTAGCATGAGCAGGTAGCTAGCAGGTACCCAAAGAAAAGCCTCCCTGACATCCCTCCCCACCTCCCACTGTCCAGATGACAACGAGTGTCTGAGGGACCCCTGTGCAGGAAGAGGGCGCTGTGTCAACCGCATGGGCGCCTACTCCTGCCTCTGCTACCCTGGCTACACGCTGACCACCTCAGGGACCACTCAGGAATGCCAAGGTAAGCCCTTGCCCCTGACATGGGCCCAGGACCCCACAGATAATGTTGGGGTGGAAGAAGATCCAGGCACTCACCCAGTCACCGTGCTGCAGAGTGCAGGGAGTTAAGGGGCTGTGGGAACCGAGACCAGGGCTCTGACCTGCACCTGGGAGGAAGCTGAGACCGGAAGGAGAGGTAGGAATCTGAAAAGCAGCAACCTTCACAAAAACTCCAAGGAACTATGGCTGGAGCCAAGGGTGTGAGGGCCCAGGGACACAACTAGAGAGGAACACTAAAAGCCAGGTTTCCAAATTCTGAGTGACATGGAGCTGCTTTTATTTGGGGTAAAGAAGGCGACCCGTGAGGACAATGACTGGGACTCCTGGCAGACTGGGGAGCCAGCATGCCTTTGCACAAGGAGCATGGGTCCTCGGCAGCATGGAGATGCCTGCAAGGCTTTGAACTTCGCTGGGAAGCTCTGCATAGGGCAACTGGGTAAAGATGCTTCCAACACAAACCCAGTATAAATGCAGAATTTATGCTGCCATACCTACATCTTTGCAAGAGTTCACAAAGAATATGATGCAGCACTTTCCAAGCAGAGCCTTAAGATTCATAACCTAGTTGGCTCCTTCACCTGGAGAATGGCTCTGTTGTTCTTGGGACTCACATTGTGTTTCTGGGAGAGGCAGCCCAGCGGTCACTCACAGGCCTTTCCTAGAGGCCAAGGAAGCTGTGTATCCTCCCATTGCCTCGGGTTCTAATCCCCTAAAGATCTGGTCTGCAGAGACCAAAGCCATCCAGGTTCCTTTGCTTGATTGTGGGGGGAAGGGAGATAGAGGAGACCCACCCACCTACCTTAACCGAAGAGTGGGAGACTTGCATGAATCATTCTCTCAGCACTCCAGCACTGAGCACCTGTGTGCCAGGTGCTATGTAAGCTCTGGGGATAGTGTGATAAGTAAGGCATGAATGGTGGCCCTGTGGGAGGAGGAAGCAAGTGGTTCTGTATGGAAGAATGTGGGAAGGTTTCCCCAAGGTGTGTTTGAACTGGGACAGAATCAATAGTAGCTACCATTTAATGAACACTTACTATACGCCAGCATTGTTCTAAGCACTTTCTTATATGAAGCTCACCTCCCCAACCCCATGCAGTAGAAATCCTTAGCCCCATTTTATAGTTTAGCAAACTGAGGCTCAGACTGGTGAATTTAAATCCCTAGCAACCTCACACCTAGTGTGGCAAATCTGGAAACAGGATGAAAGTCATTTGGTCCCCAGGCATGGTTTGTTTGCAATAACACATTCCCTTACACGCAGGGTGAAGGACTGGAGGGAGCAGAGGGTATTCCAGGGAAAGGAACCATTTCTGCAGAGAGCAGAGTAGTGAACAGGCCTGGCATGCCCTGGGGATAATGATAAATGCAGTGTGACTGGAGCGTGGGGTATGTGGAGGAAGTGGCAGGGGCCGAGGCCAGTTGTGAAGTGTCTTGAGTGCCAGGCTGAAGTGCTTGGACGCTGTCCTGCAGGCAGTGGCAGCCAGTAGAGGTCTGTAAGCAGAGGGTAGCGATGCGGTCAGCTGGCTTTCGGGGAGGTGACTCAGGCAGCAGTCCTCAGAACAGGATGGAGTTAGTGAAGGAGGCTGTGGCCAGGGGCGTCTCTGGGTTTCGCGGCCTTGGCAGGTGTTGTGGGACAGAGGTAACGCTCTCTGTAGGCCCAGCCTGAGGCACTGGCCTGGGACCAGCAGTGGCTGCTACAGGTGGCCCAGACGAGGGCTTCTACCGCATGCCAGCCTGGGTATCCCAGATGTCTCTGTCAGACCAGACAGACAGGAGGTGGGAGCCAGCTCAAGGTCAGCTGTCAGTGCTTCTCCCAGCGGGGCCCGGCCGCTGCTTAATGTGGCCTTATCTAGGATAACGTCCACTTTCTAAATTTTGCCAGTCTCATAAAACAACCTCATTGTTTTAATTATTTACTTTGCTTTTATTTATGAATTATTTCATTAATTTATATAATTAGTTAATATTAATCATTACAATTTTCTAGAATTCAAATAATATATTGTATAATTGATTAAGGTAAATTATTTGAATATTAAATATTTACAATAACAGTTACACTTTACTAATAAGTATGAGCATCCCTTTGTAGGTTAACTGTTGGATTTCCTTACCTGGAAATTGCTTGTTCCTGTCTTTTACTCCCTACCCTTAAGAAGGCCCTAGAGAACTCTAGGAGCAGACCAATACAGGGGGATGTGTTGGGGTCAGGAGGGAATCTTTTTTTTTTTTAAAGATTTTTATTGGGGAATTGGGGGGATGAGAACAGTGCTGGGGAATTAGGGGAAGGGGAACAGACAAGTTGCTGTCCTTTTGTTCTTCAATCTAGTTGTGGAGGACATTGCTTCACTGGCCCAAG